CACACACACACACACACACACACACACACACACACACACACACACACACACACACACAGTGGAATGTCCTACAATGACTCTAATGATTTGCTTAGTCAGCACACAGTTATATCTAGATTAACAACTCGGCATGTTTGTTTTATTTTTCTTTGACTGAAGCTACAGTAGTCATGATGAGACACACCGACTCTCACACAGTAAAACAGTTGAAGCACTGAAAGCTGAGAGTGCCCACCAAAGTGCACACTGTGGATGAGAACACACAAGTCCTGACAGCACTCTGGATGTCTCACGACAGCAAGGATTCTATATGAAAGCCTCGCGCTTTGCTGGGCATCTTGAATGTGGCCTCAGGTGCAGCGGTGCCCGATGCTGTGTGCTGGAGGTATGTGGGTGCATCTCTGCCGGGCTCTGTGCCGCTGTACGCCGCCTCTGACATGTAAGTGTGCTGTGCCGGATAGTTCAGATTATAGGGCAGTACGTGGGCCACTGGGGACCAGTACAGCCGGGGGCCGGGCTGCTCCACGCACGACCTCTCCTCCCTTCTTTTGAAAGGTGTGCCGAGGATGCTGTCGATGGCGAACGGGCTGGAGAACTTGGCCCCCACTCTCTCTTCCGGGGCCGGGAGGCGGGTGTCCTCGCTGAGGATGTCCGGGCTTTCCTGCTCCTTGAGGGGCCTTTTGGAGATGCGCTTCCTCCTGCGGCGGAACACCCCGTCAGCGAAGGTGTACTCGCTGTGTGGGTTGAGCATCCAGTAGTTGTCCTTGCCCCAGGGCCTGGACGGGTCCCGCAGGACTTTGAGGAAGCAGTCGTTGAGCGACAGGTTGTGGCGCACGGAGTTCCTCCAGCCGGTATAGCTGCCACGGAAAAACGGGAACTTCTTCATCAGGTAGTCATTGATCTCTGCCAGAGTGAGGCGGCCGCTGCTGGACTCTCGGATGGCCATGGCGATCAGGGCGATGTAGGAGTAAGGGGGCTTAGGTCTGCGGGTGTAGGGCTTCCCTTTGCCGCCATCGCTGCTCTGTGTGACAGGTGCCGGGCTGTTGGCTACGCAGTCTCCGTCCGAACCCAGCTCGTCTCCGGACAGGGGAGAAGGGACTCCCGCCTCTGCGTCAATGCACAACTCCAGCGGCTTCTGCGCGTAGTGATGCGCGGAGAAAACTTCAAGTTTCATTTCCCCAAAAAAGGATAACCGTCTCCTCTCGGTAACCTTGCCGTGTGAATGGTCTCCTAGGTTGGACTCTTGTCTCAGCTCAGAAGCGCAGCAGGTGTACGAGTCCTGACAGCAAAAATGTGCCTGAGTGTTTGTTGTGTGTTGTAAAGGCTCGTGTGGAGCGCTGGAGGCACCCTGAGCCTCAGTCTGGGGCAGCAGAACACAGATCTGTCTCCGGAGACACGCTTGTCTTGTTATAATATAACGCCTGGGAAAGGGACGGCCCACAGGCGGGGTTTCCAACTCGAATCCATTGAAGCGACTGAAGTAATATAGTATATGTATGTTTACAATTGGACGTTACCATGCCACACCAGGGAAGAAGAAGAAAAAAACAAACAGGGAGGATAAGTGAGGCGAGGCAGGGCAGGTATGACAAATATAATTAGCTTCAAACGCAACTATCTGTGAATAGCTCGTTATTTCTAGTTACGAGTTGCTTTTTATGGATTCAGTCAAAGTGCAATGAAATAAAGGCGAATAATACAATAATTCCTTCCTCTTACTTCTTTTTAAAACAACTTCAGCCCATTAAGGTTATGAAATTAAACACGTTTTTGAAATCAATAAAAAAAAACTTTGACAATTTTACGCACAACAGCAAATCCTTCTTGAAGTGTTGAATGCCTTGGCTTTTACACAGAAAAAAAGAAGACAGCGCAGAAAAACCCTAGACAGATTAAAAAAGGTGACACGAGAGTTGATAGAGAAAAATGCTGTTGGCTGCTTTTCACTTGAACCTCTCATACCCATCCGCCGGCGCTCCGGCGGAACGAGGAAGTAACGCGAAGGCTAAACTGAAATAAAAGCGATAGATTTTGGAGGAGTTCCAATTAACGCACGCTGGGTGACGTGTAAGTCGCCACACGCGATAACACAGAAAGAATTCATAGAAAATTCGCAAAGATTGCCCGCGAGTTCACGGGGAGTTCAGAGTAGAGAACCATTGCACCTGCATGCATGGAAACACCTGAGCGAAGAGCAGAAAAAAATACACTTACTTCTGTGTCTGAACATGTGATGTAAATGAGCGAGAGCGAGGTACCCACTGTCTCCGAAACTCCAGAACCCTCATTTACTGGAAATACATCACGTTCTTGGATAATTATATTACACGCAGCATTTCCTTTAGTATAAGGAATATAAGGAGACCGCGGCACTGACTGCATATCTGTACAAATAGATGTGCACTTCCATTAGAGCACTCAGACACCTGGGCCTTGCTGCTTTAACTTGCTGTGCGGCAAGCTAAAGCAAACAGTTGAAATAAATTTTATTCTATTTCAACAACATAAAACAATTGCATAAAACAAAGCGTTTAAGTTTGTAACGTAGATAAATTATTATGCAAAGATGGATTTGAAGAGAATTTAAGAAGATCAGGCTTTTTTGTACTTTGTCAGTGTTGCAGTACAGGTTTGGTGACAGAATATAATAACTAGTTAATATCTGAGCTATAAATCACAGCTCCAGTCGAGAGCTTGTCAATCAGTTACAGAATGGAGCTTACTTAAAACCTACTGGAGCAGGTTTTAAGTAAACTGACGCCCCTGACACCTGTAAACCGAATATGTTAGTGGCACTAACTCTTTTCCTGTCAGCGCCTCCGCCATGTGACGATGCAGAGAGCAGCTGGAGTTAACATGAGTTATGAGCCTTGCCTCAGGCCAGTTAAACTGTCTACTCTGGCACTCCTGTTCCTTTGTGCCTGCTCGGACTTTCCGGGGCCCCCAACAACACAGAGCAGGTTCAGCTTCATTTACCCTAATGCATGTGTGCGTGTTTACATAGTTCTGTTGAAAATGTTTCTATTGGTAGTTCCTAGTGAAACATATAAGATAGGGTCACTATAAACTACCTACTGCCTTCCAGACAGCAGAGAGCACTGAGATACCAATCTGTGTTTGACACCTTGAACAGTTTGTGAGTCTACAGTACATGTTTTTATGTTATCACATAATTATCATGTTGGGTATACATGACAGGCATGATTAACGATATGACCCTGAACTGTTTGTGTATATATGTTTGAGAGAACATGGAAGGTATGCAAATCAACTATATGAACATGCACTTTGAAGCCTGTCTGTTTTTCCAGTTGTGTTATGACAAGCCCGATGGCAGCTTGTTTCTTGAAAACACAGTTTCTGTTGTTTCATTTCTTTGTCAAATTCAAGGTCCGCTTGCCTGCTTTTTAAGAGGGCAGGCTCCTACGCACCTGTAAGGGTTGTACATGGCATCATTTCAGAGGTGCTGGTTGTTGATTATCTGAGAGCCCAAACTTTCTGACAGCCCTATAAAAATACAATATATTGCACACAAAAATCACATTTCATTATACATTCTAAACAAATCTTCACAGCTAAATGTTAAATAGGTTGCCATGTCATTTCTATCAGAACCCTCTCTGCCACATTTTACATTTTTCCTCGCCCACTTCCACTGAATGTTTTTAAAGGTTTCTCTTGATCGATAATTTCTTTCAGAGGAAAATCTGCTAATACTTTGATCTCATCTAAGTGCACTTTAACCGAAGCATTGAAGTCAGACCGGACATGTTTATATTAAAGTAATAAATGCTGAAATAGATGCTGTACACTCTCAGAAATATGATCATTGTTTACAGTTAATCTAAAAAATATACAAACTCCAAATCTGATTATTAGGACTCTAGGTAACCACACCTACCAGCCACTTATCAGGTACACCCTGCTAAAGACACCTTTTGTCTTCAGAATTAAATGAATTCTTCATGGCAGAGAATCAGAAAGGTGCTGAAAATGGTCCTCAGACATTTTAGCCTATATTGACGTGATAGCATCACAAAGCTGCTGTAAATGTGTTGGCTGAACACCCATAATGTGAATCTTCCCTTCCATCACATCCCATAAGTGCTCGACTGGATTGAAATCTAATAAATGTGGAGGCGATTTGAATACAGTGAACTCATGATCTGAGCTTTGTGATGTGGTGCGTTCTTAGCCGTCCTTTGTGACAGGAAAGGAACATCAGAGAAACCAAAGGTTGTCACATACAAATTTACATTCTGGAAACAGCTTTCTTCTCTCTCCGGGAATTCGGGGAGCAGCTGGTGAGCTGAAATTGTTTTTTTGCTGAAACTCAGGAGGCTGACTGCTGAGAGCCTAAATCCAGAGCTGAGGAAATCAGCGGCATGTGCGCTATCATTAACGCCGTCGCTGCACAACAACCCGGTGAGGCGCAAAGGGAATTTTACACTGCTTGGCTGGTGGTAGTTGTGCCTGCATGATTTTTTTTTCTTTTTCTTTGCAGGAGTGAGATGAGGCTGTATACGATTTCAGGTACTCTGCCAAGGCAGCTACACACACCTGTGCCAAAGTGATGTGGTGTGAAAGGAAGCACACCTGTTCTCAGTTTTTTTGTGCGTGTTTTATTCTTTACATGGCAATTTGAAATCACAAGTGGAAAGACTGTTTACCCAAAGGGATCAATAAGGTATCACATTATCATTTCACTCTGCACATTTGGATTAAGGTGGAATTCAAACCTTCAAATCGCTTGAGAAGGTCAGGCTCTTCTTTCACCTTTAGGCCATAATGAAAGATGATATATTTAATGCATTAAACTGCTTTAACTGCATTGTCATATCAGCAGAGTCAACTCTGCCCCCTGTTAGGCTAAAGAGATGCGTTATGCTTATATAACCTGTTAACAAGTCTCTTCTAAAATTGGCAACTTGATGGTTTGGCTCACCTGTTGAGAATTAACGTGTCTTCTTTGAGCAGCAGAACTCTTTTAAGTGCTGACACGAGTGGCATTCCAGTTATGTAAATTGACTGGGTGAATCCCTCACAGCTCCAAAAATAGCCCCACCTCTGCAGCGGTCGGCGCTCACACGCTAACCCTTGTCTGCAAGTCTTCGGATGACTTCTTACCTGTATCTCATCTTTGTTGTCTTTCTTCTCTGTGAGTGAAGGATGGCCAGCCCCCATGTCTTTGTATAAACAAAGTGTGAGCTGTGTGCGTGTGTGTGTTTTTATGTGTGTGTGTGAGCAGGGTAGAGAGGAACGGCAACAAGAGGCCCTGCGTGGCTGAGATTCCTGAGATTCCCCGCAGCAGATATAGTCTGACAGAGGCCGCCGATAGTAGACATGCTTCACTGGGGCGCACAGGTAGGTACAACAATGTGTCAGCTTCGCAGCCAACTCAAAGATCAGACATTCCACATAAGCTCCACTCATTCCTGCAGTCTGCTCGGTAGGCACCAGCTCAGGGGCGTGTGTGTACTGGGGTGTTTGTTTGACTGCAGCTGTTTGTCCTCTCAGGTGTGTGGGTGTGGGAGATTGCGCATGTGCTATGGCAAAAAGCAAGAGCAAGATGCATACGTTCCATCTAGTTTATTCTTCAAGCGGTGATTACTGTAATTACCCTACGATGTGGCCTTCTAAGCGTTTGCTGCCTGCTTTGTTGTGCTTCTGTAGAATCAAACCTTTGTGTTTTGGAAGATAAATTGGTAGGGGGGCGTTCAGCCCATGTAATCAGAGGCACACCTGAGCACTTATCAGTGACAAACAAAGTTCCCATGAAGCTGTTTTCATACATAACCCAGGAACTTTCCACACTGAATGCACTCTGGGAACTGCTGCATGTAGCATCAAAAATGTATCCGTGACACCTGATAGGCAAATAAACAGACACGAAAACATGCAGTGACTCACAGTTTTCATAAGCACGGTCTGATGTGCATAAATCTGTGCAGCATGTGTGTCAGCGATTAATAAATGAAATCAGATATATGTATAAAAAAAAGAAAAAGAAAAAAGCAGCATATCTTGGAGTCAGTTGGCAGCTGCGGGTTGCTATTTTGGGTTTTCCTGCATTCTTACTTAAGGTGTGCACACCCTTGCCAGACCAAGAGAGAGAAAGAGAGAGAAAATAGATACATATAAATAAACAGAGCCAACAAAGGTATAATTAAAGTAATTAAAGAAAGAGGTGAAGCACAGGTGAAGCACAGGTGAAACGCACCCAGGCACTGGTAGCACCTAAAAGTCATGCAAAGTCATGTGACTCAGTCCCCTGTAACACCCCCCCAACCCAACCCAGTTACTGTCTTGATATGCGAATACATTTTTGACACCCACAATATCTTAGAGCAGTAATTCTGAACTGCTATTTATTATTTTGTTTTATTTTTTGCATCATAGTAGAGTCATTTC